ATACTACCGAACGGCTCGTGCACTTGCGAGTATCACAAGTTGAGGATGCAACTGAATCCATTTTGGTGCAGCTGTATCTACACAACAATAGGCCTAGGCTCCCTTTCGATAGGTGAGTCTTGACTCATCGGGGAATCCATAGGTGAATCCGATGTCGGTGTCTCATGGAGTGGCGTTTCGTTCAACACCACCTCTGGACCCGTTAGAATAATTTGAAATCTCTTACAATTCTTCACTGTCTCCCAACATTGGGTATGATTGAAGCTTTTTTTGCCTTGCCCAGTAGCACCAAACCACATTTGTGCTTGCATAATCTATAAAAAAAAAATAATGGAAATGCAACAAACTTTAAAAAATATTGTCAATGCAACATGTATACAAAAAATAAAAATGGAAATGCAAGAAATTTTAACAATTTATTAGAAATGCAATAAATATTAACAAAATATAAATATTGCAAGAAACATTTAAGTAAATATTGGAAATACAAGAAATATTAATAAAATATATAAACTGCAAGAAACATTTAAATAAAAATTAATATGACATAGAAATTAATAAAACGAAAATTACAAATAATTTACCTCATTGCTAAGGTTTTCCCCACTTCTATGGTTGTTCATCGCTTTCGCCAAGGCATCTCTCCATTTCGCCAACTCTTTATTAAGAATTTTCCACCCACTAGATAATGCCATTTCCGTACGGGTCGAACCCATTGCCCTTTCACAAAATTCCTGATGAATTTTTTCCCACATATGACAGAATTTCATCTCATTGCCCGTTACGGGACAATCTAATTTGGACCCAACTCTCACACAACAAAACATCTTCCATCGTGCTCCATGCCCCTCCGGTTTCATTAGAAGTACCCATAATATGATAGAGAAAAATACAACTTGAAAGTGAAAAAAAATATTGAGTAGAAGGAGAAGAAAATGTATGAGGATTTGGTGTTAAAAGTGAAGAGTATTTGTTGGTATTTATAGAAAACAAATTCAGTATTTTTTTTGTAATTTTTTTTTTAAATTTCAATTTTTTTTCAATTTTTTATTGCACAAAAATTCGTCACCGTTGGATTGCTGGAAAAAATCGAATCGAAGAGCCCAGCGCAAGCCACGTGGAAGAGAGACACACGCCAACGTTAAAAAAATTTGAACGCTAGGGCTGACGTCAGGGCGCTAACGTCATCCCAAAACGAGTTTTGGCGCTCAGGCCAGCCTTGCCCTCGGGCCAGCCCAGTTCGCTGGGTCGCACTGCTTGCCCGGGCTGGGTTTTGTTATTGGAAACATGTTTTTGGGCTTGCCCCCCCCAGCCCTCCCCTTGCCTGAGCTGCTGGAAATGCTCTTACACATCAAATAAGAAAACTTGATTTTATGGGATTTTAGTATGAAGTATATATTGACTTAATGAGCCATCATTTTTAGCCTAAATCGTATTTTGCACTAAAACCGAATTTTCATATTTTCATTTGGTGGGAATTTAATTTTCTAGTATTTTTATTTGAATCCAAACAAAGTGACATAATAAGACCATTAAGCTGGTTTGTTTTTGCAACACACACATATATATATTAGATTATTATAAATAAACCCAATCCTAGACATGTATTTATAAAAAAATCCACGCACTATTTAAACATAGAAACACGCCCAAAATTAACAATTGTATATTTTTTGGGTGTGTTTATAAAGTGTTTTGGGTGTTGGGTTTTTTTATAATTTCAGCCCCCATTTTGGGTGTTTTAGTGAAACTCCTATATATATATATATATGTGAACTCTCTCATTGCAAAGTACGCATCCCGTGAACTTATCTAATTAAGGTTGTTATGTGGCAGATTAAGGGGGACAATTCGTGGTCAGGGATTGTGTTCGTGCCAAACATTCCTATTGAGGTGAAATGAATATTAAAAACTTGTCAGTTATTTCGGGTCGGGTCAAAAAACCGAATCGTTGACGCCCTTGGAGTTTAATGGGCGGGTATCTAGCAGTTAGCTGAGCAAGCACCACTTTAAAAAGATACTTCTTCACTCGCCAATTGCGTTGTGTGTGAGCTGGAAAACGGCCACATTTGGCCTCTGCGTTATCATCTTCCTTCCTTCCTCTTTCTCTTTCTTATGCTCTTCTCTCTCAGTTGCTGGCACTGCCCAACACCCTCAATTGCCAATCCTGAGGGCTGAGGCCGTCCTGCAACCAATGGCTGCCACTATTCCTCTGCTTCAGTTCGTCCCCACCAAAACCTTCCAAGCCAAGATTCACTCGAACAGACTCAGACCCACCAAGCAGAGAGGTCGTCCATTCTACAAAAGTTTCGATCTTTGAGCTCCATTTTGCTTACCATTTATTTTTGGTGGGTTTTGCAGGAACTTTTGGTTTATCTATGGTTACATGCTCTTCTTCTAATGGAAGAGAGCCTGATTCTGTGGATGGTGTGAAGAGCGTGGAGCGGTTGCTTGAAGAGAAAAGGCGAGCTGAGTTTTCTGCTCGGATTGCCTCAGGGGAATTCACTGTCGAGAAAACTGGGTATACTTATTAGAGATTGAACTATGGGTTTAGTTTTGCTTATGTTGGGCAATTTCAGCTACATTTGAATAAATTTGCTGACTAAAATTGTCACCGAATTTTGAACATACTTAATAGTTAATACTAGAAGAAGCTAGCTGGAAAGCTTTACTTTTGTGTTATTATACATCCAAATTTTTGTGTGTTGATTCATAACTCCAAGTCTTTTGGATGTGGTAATTAGTTATCCATCTCAATTGAAGAACGGTTTGTCGAAGTTGGGTGTTCCTGGGGAGATTCTAGATTTTTTATTCAGCTGGGCTGATGCACATGATGGCTCTCCCAAAATTCCAGAGGCAAAAGGAGCAATTAGTGCCATTCAAAGTGAGGCCTTTTTCATCCCACTATATGAGCTTTACCTCACTTATGGTGGAATTTACAGGCTGACCTTTGGACCAAAGGTTTTTATTTCTAATATATATCTCATTTGATTAATAGTAGTCTCTACCAAACTTATTAGATTGTTATGACGGCAGTGCCGCTGTTCTCAGTGAATTACTTGTTGATTCTTTCTGCAGTCCTTTTTGATCGTTTCTGATCCTTCCATTGCCAAACATATATTAAGGGATAATTCAAAGGCTTATTCAAAGGTAAACCCAATTGGTTAATTTCTTTTCCTGTCCTCTCTCTGTCTGTCTTTCAGTTGATAGCTACTTTGTGCACAGGGAATCTTGGCTGAAATTCTAGAGTTTGTCATGGGGAAAGGACTCATCCCAGCAGACGGTGAAATATGGCGTGTTCGACGACGTGCTATAGTCCCTGCATTGCATCAGAAGGTATTTCGTTCTTATCCTGCTCCCTACATTCAATGTTTCCAGTGGAAGAAAAGCCTGTTTAAGGGAAAAGTGGGATATCAAAGTGTGAACCAAGACCTGTGATATGAAAACCAAAATCAGAATTAGGAGGAACAGATGTTCTGATGTAATTCAACTATTACTTGCATCAGAAGGTGTTGTGTACCCTTTCCCACAGTTCCCTGCATCAGAAGGACCAATTTGGAGGAATAGTCATTTGATTTTGCTGTAGAACGGCTGTTCCTCCAAATTGCTCCTTGCAATTCAGAAAGATAAAAATATTATGCATGTTAACCAATTTTAAAAAATTTAAAGAGCACATTGATTTTGTCTATTATGAAGAAAAACCTTCTTCTTAGAAAACTGCACATAGAAATTTTATGAACTGTATGCCTAATAAGAACCTTGTCCAATTTCTCATGCAATTTTGGAGCTACCTCACTGTAAGGTAAACCTTGGTGCAGACCATAGGAACTATTTGTAACTATTTTTTATTGTTGATTCTAGTTTTTTTTATTTAAAATTGTAGTATGTAGCAGCTATGATTAATCTCTTTGGAGAAGCAGCAGAGAAGCTTTGCCAAAAGCTAGATGCTGCTGCATCTGATGGGGAAGATGTAGAGATGGAGTCACTTTTCTCCCGTTTGACACTGGACATCATTGGCAAGGCACTTTTTAATTATGATTTTGATTCATTAACAAATGACACTGGGATAGTTGAGGTATTATTTTTCGTTCCTTTTATCTTAGCTCTGGTTATACGATGTTCTTTCCTGTTTAGCTTCCACTTATCTTCATCAATTCTCTTTTGTAGTTGATTTTATAGCAGTACTTAACATATTGCTGTCTTTCTATTTTGGCTAGAGCAGGCTGTGTACACTGTCCTGAGAGAAGCAGAAGATCGTAGTGTTGCACCAATACCAGTATGGGAGATCCCAATATGGAAAGACATTTCACCACGACAAAGAAAGGTTGCAACAGCCCTCAAACTAATCAATACTACGCTGGATGATTTGATAGCAATTTGCAAGGTAAAGTCATCAATTCTTGGCACAACATAGAGCTGTGGTCCTCTTTTTTTCTTTTTCTTTTCTTGATAATATTTGCCACTATATTTCCAATCACATGTGTTTTTTTTCCTTTTTCTTTCAAAATGATACATGGCTGGGCATGGCTGCTAAGCTGATGCAGTTTTGTTTTCGTTATTATTTTTGTTTGTCATCTGCAGAGGATGGTAGATGAAGAAGAGCTACAGTTTCATGAGGAGTATATTAATGAACAAGATCCTAGTATTCTCCATTTCCTTTTGGCTTCTGGGGATGATGTATGTAACTGCAACTATCATACACACTTGTCACCAGCTCAAATGATTAAACTTTTTACACTCTATTTGTAGGTTTCTAGCAAGCAACTCCGTGATGACTTGATGACAATGCTTATAGCTGGGCATGAAACATCAGCTGCAGTTTTAACATGGACCTTTTATCTTCTTTCCATGGTAACACATTTGAGGCCTAGTAAAGGAACTAATTTCTCACTTTTATGTTCTTTAGTGCATAGTAATATGGATCTTCATTTGGGGCTTACACCTCGCCCTGTAACCGGGAATTTCGGGAAATAAAATGGATCTTTACTTGAAATGCAGAACTATACCAACTTGTAAATCTGAGATGCTTGCAAAGTTTATAAGGGTGTGATGAATTTACAGCATATAACTATTTTGAATCAAATATATTTAATTCATTTTCTTAAAGTAGATTAGAAAGTTTTTAAATAAATGAGGACTACAAATTATCACACATGAATCCACATCTATTTCATCACGACTTTACCTTTTGATTGGCTACAGGAGCCTAGCGTCATGTCGAAGCTCCAAGAGGAGGTATGTTACAGCTTTAATTTTAATGCACCCATATTTCTACCAAAAGAATCATAGGAGTCATGAATACTTTAGCCTATATCATATTGTTTTGCGTTAATTATAGTACTTTATGTTCTTAGGCTGATTCTGTTCTAGGAGATAGATATCCAACAATTGAAGATGTGAAGAAACTCAAGTATGCAACTCGTGTTATTAATGAGGTAAGCATATCAGCTTTTATCTGAAGGAAGAAATTTAATTTTCTGTATAAATGGTCATTTCTTATCGTTTGGTTTAACTTTCCTTCTTCCTTTGCAGTCCTTGAGGCTTTACCCACAACCACCTGTGTTAATTCGTCGTTCTCTTGAGGATGACAGGCTTGGAGACTACTCTATTAAAAGGTTATACCTAGAAAATCTACTGTGAATTCTATTGATATATGTTGTTAATATGCAACATCTAATGCCATTTTTATCTTTTCATTTACAGGAATGAGGATATATTTATTTGTATTTGGAATCTGCATCGCAGTCCAAAACAATGGGATGATGCAGATAAGTTTAAGCCTGAAAGATGGCCATTAGATGGACCCAATCCAAATGAGACGAACCAAAATTTTCGGTATTTCATCTCTCTGTTTCGTTTATTATTATTTTTAAAATCTGGAGTTACAACTGATCTGCTAGGTAATGTTAACATCCTTGGTGGATGAGCATTGTACAATTTTATTTTATTTTTTGGGTAAAATGAGGCTGCAGAAGTTCAATTAATTTGTGGTATCATTGCACACTCAAATATGAAAAGGAAATATTATTAATATTTTTTGGAGTTTGGAGGATGACGATTGAAAGAAGTATGCCTTTTCTATATTTATTTTGCCACATTCCATATTAGATGGTTCTAGATGTATCTGGTACTTCATAAACATGTTCAAATCTTAATGAAACTGACGTTCTAAATAAACAAACCTATCCTATACTTCTTGGATCAACATTGCATATGACCAGTTTTAGCACGAAAAAGGGCTATATTACTGCAAATGTAAAAGTTATTTAAGTTGCACATGACACTGTATTATTTAATCTATTCTGTGCTATATTTTCTGAGAAAAAAAAATATTCATTTTCAGAATACAGCAGCTTCTTATTAGTTTTAGTATAATTTCAATCAGTTTTAGGGAATGACATGGGATTCAGGGTTCGATTTTCTCTTGAATGTTTTTTTTTCCACAAATAAATTAATGTGGTAGTTTTTATTTCAGTTACTTGCCCTTTGGTGGAGGACCGCGGAAATGCGTAGGTGACATGTTTGCCACATATGAGGTAGAATATTTGAACTTGTTGGATGGCCAACTTTTTTTATTTTTAATATTTATACAACTTTATGAAAATAAATCACTGAAATTTTTGCATGCCTCTCATGATGATCATATACAAGCCGTCAAAGCTTCTCCTTTTCCCAAATAAATAAAGCATTTTGAAACACTTTCATTGCTGATTTACAGACTGTGGTAGCACTTGCAATGCTTGTTCGAAGATTTAACTTTCAAATGGCACTTGGTGCTCCTGAGGTAAGTAGCCCTGTGTTGTTTCCTGCATGTATTATTTCTAGCCCAATTGGAACTCTTTTGAATCGTGTATTTGTTGGTGGCATTGTTGTGAACAACAATAAGTTTTTTCTTTTTTGGTGAACAACAATAAGTTTTAGAAGCTGAGTGAACTTGTAAAAACCTGTAGTGTTATATTGAACTTAAAGTACGTGATTCTATTTCTGTCTAAAGAATGGTTCTCCAAGCAGGTCAAGATGACTACGGGAGCAACAATTCACACCACAGAAGGGTTGAAGATGACAGTTACCAGGAGAATAAAACCTCCCATAGTGCCCACATTGGAGATGACGACATTTGAAGTGGATACATCTGTAGGTGTTTCAAAAGGGGATTCTTTAGTTGGTAAAAAAGGTGAGGTTTCTTGTGCTCATTGCAGATTATTTGTTATACTTGAATCTCGATGTGTTTTCTACTAATCTTCTGCTTGATGATGTCAGGTTTGTAGATAATGCTGTAAATTGAGAGAGGCAAGAGCATAGAGTTGCAAGGCTAAGAAAGAAACTGTGTATAGTGCAGCGGCCAACGGCTTTATTTTTAAGCCATCAATATAGTTCTTAAGTCTCTTGAAGAATCCGTTCAGCTCAGTAAATTTCCAAGCTCCCTACCAAAGCATCACATCTTTCTCAGTGTATTAAAAACACTTCCTGTAATACCCTCAAAAATAATATTTGGTTTTATTATTTTTGTGGAAAATCTTATTAAGTCATGTGACTATTTTGGGTGTTGTATGAATTTGGTTTGATGTAAAAAGTATTGGAATTAAGTGAGTTTAATCAAATTGGGACAAAAATGCCTTTATAATGAAGTTTATGATTTTTCAAAGGAAGTATAAGAAATTGAAGTGAGAAAATTATGATTTTTGAATTGGAAAATCGAGATTGATCTCACGAACGCATAGGCGCAAACGGTTCGTGAATCCGAGTTGAAACGAAGAAGTTATACTCGTTTGAAGTTTCAGGGACTAAATTGCAAACAGAGACTTTGCCTATAAATTTCAGATGGACACTGTTGGGATTCATAATTTGCAATTGAACCCGGAGGTTTGAGAGCTCGTCGGAGAGGCGATTTCGGGAGCTCATCGGAGAGGCGATTTCCGACGGCGTCTGCGGCGGCGTACGGTGGAGGTGATCGACACTACCAACCCAGATAGGAAGCCTGCTATCTTGTGAACATAACCCAAGAAGAATCGGAGCCATCGGAGGTGCGGTGAAGGCACGGTGGCGCCGTGAAGTTGGTTCGTCAACAGTGAAATCAGCAACTTCAACCGGCAGTTTGAGCGACTTACACTTCGAATTGGACCTCGAGGTAAGAATTAAAGTTGTTCTACTCAGTATTACGAACATTTTGGCATAGGTCTTGACTGGCGATTCTAGGGTTGGTCCGTCGCCGGAATAGTACCCCGAACCACCACCGGCGGTGGCGGCGCAGGGTGGCGATTCTGAGTTAGGGCTTTAGAGACAGAATGTAGTCCTAGAGTTACTGAACATGATAGTATGTTTAAATTGTTGAGATTCCGTCGTTTAATCGACGATCAGAGCCTCACAAATCTGGACCATTGGTTGGAGATGATTGGACCGTTGGATCGTGTCCAATTTTAATTATGTTGTAGCTGGTGTTGTGAGGAGTCTGTAGGTTCAGACGGATTGATGATCGGACTTCCCGATCTTAAGTTATCATGTTTCAAAGTTAAGGCGATCGATCGCCATTTGATCGTGTAATGTAGAATTATCCGACCGTTGGATTGGGCCCAAATTGTTGCAGGGTGATGTCGGGACTATTTAGAGTCCATTGGTGCGATCGGATTTGGAATCCGAGGTTGTGCGCCCAAGGCGGATTTTTGGGGTGTCGGTTAGACATGTGGGACCCACGGGACCCAAATAGTGACATTTTGGACAATGGGTGTCATTGGTCATGATTCGACGTCGACAGCACGTACGTAACAGTTTTGGAGTTGGTTGGATGAGATTTGATCACTTTGGATCCCCGGTTGGTCCAAAGGGCAATTTCGTCATTAGTTGCGAAATCTTGGATTTTGGAGTTTTGTGCTAAGTTGAGTTGTGTACTTTGCTTAGGTACTGTTGGAGTTTGAGTTGCTCGTTGAGGTTTGAGATTGAGGTTTCGTTAAGTTGTTGAAGACGT